CTGGAGGTGTTGAGGACAGCCCGGTTCGTGTCGATCCCCTTCAGTGCCACAACCCTCAGCCCTCGCAACGGCCCTGCAGCCCTGGATTTGGCAATGGCATCTCTACATGTTCGCACGGGCTCCCAGGCGCCGACGCAGCAGTCCGGGGTGGGTTCCTTCAGCCCCTTCTTCCTGCAAGCCCAGACCTCCTGTCAGCGCTGTCCTCTGAACGCCATCAATGTGGTCTATGACGATACTTCCGGGATTGCTTATACTCCTCTTTGCAGCACCACCACCACCACAACCACCACCACGACGCAAGATGCGGAGGCGTCTAAGGCCAGCTATTCTTTGCCTGGTGGCTTCCTGTGGGGCCTGGTCACCGTCGGATTTCTCACTCCGACCTTCCTTGCCAACTGATGACCTACACGAGTTTTTTGGGAGTGCGCCTCCATGACCTGGGGCGTCTGATCGAAGTAGGGGAGAGATTAGGATGGCATCTCGTCATCCTTTTGCATGGCGCACTCCCGCAATTTTGCGTCGAATACTTCCCGGCAGCAGCCTAGGGTTTACCGACAGATGCGATGCAAAGTACTCGCACGTGAGGGGAGCATGTCCAACCACGCAATGTGCATGAGTCTTGCTACAGTGGCGACACTGTGAGGTGCTCGAGTTCTGAAAGGTTAGTTTACAAGCTAATTTCTGAAACAGTGCCGTCGCTCTAGCATGCCGCAGCCTGCACGACAGCTTGTGCAATTACTGCACCAAATGCGATTTTAATCTTGTTTGTCCGAACCTCGCCGCATGCCACGAGAGTGAGTTAAAGTCTGCTCAAATTTTGCTACTGTGGCGGCACGGTGTCAAGCTATTCGCTTGTGAAGGATCTGCTCAATTTCTTCACGTTTCTCTGAAGCAGTGATGTCGCTTGAGCAAGCTGCATGCTGTCTGAAGAGCATAGGCAAACACTCACTACTGCGCTGTGCCAGATCTTGACTAGTTGCTCCAAACCAGGCCGCATGTATGGTGAGGGTGATCTGGCGAGGGTTACCCGGAAGCCCGGAAGCTTGAAAACCCCTTTGCTGGAGACAGCCGAGGGTTTAATTTCACTTTCCAGTGCCTGCAAAGCTGCAAGGTTTGGGCCTACTTCTTCCGCGTGTCGGTGCGCCGGCCATGCCGTGGAGAGGGCGAGGCCGGTGGGCAAGTCGAGATGCTACCAGTAGAAGGATTCTTGCAATGGATTTGCTGCCGTGCTCGGCCCTGTTGGGCCTTTTTGATGATGTGAGTGGGCGGGCTCGGGGCGCTGCAAGAGGGCAAAGGGTAACGCACCCATCCAGCACTGCAGAGGACGACTGTGGTCGCAGGCACGGGCTAAGTCGAGATGCGACAAGAACACTTCGGCTGCGTCGTTGGAACGATCTCGTCGGAGAAGGGAGTGGCACAAGGGTGGGTGATGTGGAAGCAGACATGACCAGGAAGGACATGCTTAGTTGCGGCTTTTGTGGCGCTGCACAAAGCCACTGACTATGGCTGCAATTTGGAGTTATGTACTTGAAAGAGCATTATTAACACCAGTAGAAGCGCCAATGAAGTAGACACAGCCACGTGCTACGAAGGCGCGAACACAGCAACCAAAGCGCGCTAGAGAGCTGCCGGGGTGCATGTCCCCTGCAAGTAGTACGGAATGCTCCTGTCCGCAGTTTCGTGCTTTTGCTTAGCCAGACTCTTGAGGACGGCACGGCAGATAGGCACAGAACACTGTGTGACTTTCGGATAGAACTAGCGACAAATTTCTGAATCGTAGCGCGGGTTGTCAGACTGTAAGAATGCACGGTGGCACAGCCTGTTTGCCCCATGTCACTTGTGCGCATGGGCAAGATGGGCCAAGGTCAAGAGCCGGGCGCGCTTTTATGTCCTGCGGGGTGATGACGGCAAGGCCAGGCGTGGATCTGTCTGCTGTTGTCCCATCGGGCAGTGGCCTGCCAGTAGGTTCAATAGTGCAATACAGAGCACATGCGAGCAGTGAGAATTGAAGCCGGAAGGAGGCCGGACTGAGAGACAAGTCAAGACTCTGCACCGACGTAGCCCCGCAACCGAGTCTTCAAGGGACTCTTCTCCCCTTGTGCCGGTGTTTCTCGTGCAGGTCTTCCCCTTCACCCGACCCACGATCGCAGGGCGCTCAGTACTGTTCAGGTCCCATCATGGCACACGTGCCTGCATGCTACTTGCTCGATACTTGCTTGGTGGTTTGGACATTTCGCGTTTTTCCCACTGGTTTTCCGAAGTGCTCCTGTTGCGTTTCTCCACGCTGCAAGTGTTCGCCGCAGGAAGCAAGGCCCATATCCGAAAGAAGGCAGCCCTGAGAATGGAAGCCGACGTTCCCACTCATAGTTTGGCACGGTCGCGCTGTACCCTAACTCAAAGGTTAGAAGTATGGCCCCGAATATGGGCCCTTAGGCCTTTCTAGGGACCCTTACAGATACATATAGGGTATATAGCAGGTGCATAAGGATCCAGATTTAAGGGCCCATACTAGGGGCCCGTGGTTTCAACCTTGGACTAACGGCGCTGAAAGCGAACACCTCCCATCCCGGAGAGCTCCTCTGCCAACTTCAGCACGTCCGAGGGCGAGTCAAGCTTCTCTCTGAACAAAGGTGCCGGGGTGTTTTTTTTTGGGGTTTGTGGGTTGAAGGCATCATTGACCATTCCGCTGGGTGGGGATGCGCTGGGCCATCTGAAGAGCCAAGCTGCTGCATGGAATTCGATGGTGAAAACCTTAGGCCTGGAATCTCTGCTTGCATGTTAAAGCGTGCCTTCAAGGGAGGTGCCGTGTGGCTTGCCCTTCACCGCACACCCATGCCCACGCCCTGCGAGTTGTGCTGCAAGGAGATGAGTACAAGTTCTGCTGGTGCTTGCTCACCGGGCGGGAGCTTCAACGAGCAGCCGTGGCTTCGGCTGGAAAGAGTCTTGAGTAACGAGTTTTGGGCCGCAGCATGATCCAATTCGGTGTCGTGGGTATGCTGGGACTCTGTGGTCGGGATAGAAGCTCGTCCAAGGCTTGCCGTTGCTCGACATGGCTTGCATGCATGCGCACAGTGAAAAGATCCTTGGGAAGGGCCTTGCCACTGTCAGAGCCAGTCAACCTGGCATCAGAGGTGTATCATGATTTACCAGAATCCGGGACAGCCTCCATCCCATCAGCACCTGAGGGCTTTTGCCGATCGAAAGGGCTGACAGCTGACCTTCCGTGCGAGCAGACCCCTATATATCTATATCTATATCTATATCTATATCTATATCTATATCTATATCTATATCTATATCTATATCTATATCTATATCTATATTCTATATATATATATATCTCTATTCTCTCTCTTTCTCTATATATATATATATAATCTCCACATATATATATATATTATCTCCAGATCTCTTTCGAAGCCATCAGGCTGGAATGCTGCTCGAGGGCTCGGCGGATGGACGGCCGGAGCTGCTCGGCTGCAGCCATGGGAGCCGAAAGGCACCCGGCAAAAACCCGAGAAGCCCCGAGGCGCTCGAGAAAAATCCCAAATCCCAAGCGAGCCACCGAGCGGAGCCGAGGTTTCACAGCGAAGAGCTCCCCATCCTCTTCCCCATGTCCTCCCCTGAGGCTAGATCGGTGCATGGGCTCGGCGGTTTTAGGGGACGTCGTGGTCTTCTTTCGCTTGCAGAAGGAGTACCCGACAAGTAGAGCCCCAGCAAGCGTCCGACCAGCTGTCTCCCCTGTGGGCTTGAAGGTCGTTGCCGTTCGCTTGCGAGGTCAGTTCAGGAAGACCTCTAGAGCTGCTTTGCCCTTTTTACAAGTCGTAAATCTTCGGGGCGCAGCCTGCCCTGAATCTGACAGCTTCTGAGCCTGTGCCGCCAGATCGACCCGACTGAAGCTTCCAACCTCGGAGAGCCTTGGCCGCCCTAATCTCCGTGTTTTTTGATAAGATCTGCTTCAGAATTTCAGAACTGCAGTCTTCGAGCTCGTAGTTTGAGCCTGTCCTGTCATCGGCCTTTTTGCAGGCCTGAAGCCCAACATTGGGTGAGCCGTGGCATTGCACTGCTTCAATGTGGGGATTTGCAGATGAACTATCCCATGGATCAAGAGTCTGAGCGCAAGGACGGCTACACCTTCACCGGTCACCTGGACCTACGGGCCGTCGCGGGCTTCTAGGCCGGGTCTTCCATCCCTGGGAAGCCTGAGCAGCCTGGATTAAAGTTGGAGCACCAGGGTGACGCACGCAATCCAGGAACTTTGCTAAGTCTTCTTGAACGGCAGCCTGTCACTGCCAGGCGCTGTCCTCATTGAGCTCTTGAGAAGCCGCTGTTTGTGAGCCTTTAGCAGCTTTTGCGGCCACTGGAGCAGTAGTTCCATTTGCAAGGCTCTTCGCCCGTTTGACGTGTTGCCATGTTAGCTCATATCATATAAAAGGTAAAGATAGGAGTGTGAGTTGCATGGATTATTCTGGCAATGCCCCGTGCCCCAAAGATTGAGGCCGCAGTTCCCAAAGCTCCAGGCTGGGGTTTAGGACCGCTTTAGGATCTAGGGCTAGGAGGCTGCAGAGTGTGCATAGGGTGTGAGGCTCTGGCAATCGCTCCAGAGCCCTGCATACAGTTTTCGCATCGTTTGGGCCGCCCCCCAAACTGCCTGCGGAAAAAAAAAGCCACTCGGGTAGCATCAGATGCTTCATCTTCGCTTCGGGGGATTTTCAGGTTCGACGGAGTGTAGACACATGCCTATCATTCGCGTTCTGGGAAGAACGTTCGGTGAAAGGTGAACTTTGGGACAACCCGAAACTCTGTCTCCTGCTGCACCACGTTTCAAAAGCCAGCGATCAAGCGCCGAATCCAGCACAGCCGCATTGACGGTGCCACTAGAGAGGCGGGCAGGGCCGGGGGTCAACATCTTCCTGTCCATAGAAAGAACTTCTTGAGATGCCCAGCCGATCTCTTGTTCCTTGCACTACTGGTGTGGCTCAAGCACATCGGTCGTCAGCTTGGCATTCCTCCGCTTCCCTCAAAGACTTGGAATCATGCTGCGCCCCA